AATATTTTTGTGCATATGAGCTATACTTGTACCAAATTTTATATGGATATTTTAATTTTGTAATGAGTTATGTGCGTTTAAGTGATTTTCGGGAGGGGACCTTGTATGGTAGCTATGACCAATTATGGACCGATCGGAAAAAACTTTCATAGTAATATTTCTGTGCATATGTGTAATACTTGTACCAAATTTTATATGGATATCTTAATTTAGTAATGAGTTATACGCGTTCAAGTGATTTTCGGGAGGGGACCTTGTATGGGAGCTATGACCAATTATGGACCGATCGGAAAAAACTTTCACAGTAATATTTCTATGCATATGGGCAATACTTATACCAAATTTTATATGGATATCTTAATTTAGGAATGAGTTATGCGCGTTTAAGTGATTTTCGGGAAGGGACCTTGCATGGGAGCTATGACCAATTGTGAACCGATCCAGAAAACTTGAATTCTGAATGAATTCTATTGACATAAGATTTTAATTTGTAAAATTTTGTGAAGATATCGACATTGTGACGGAAGTTATTAACAAAAAACCCATTTTCCGGGAATATGTATTTTTGTATGGGAAGTATATGAAATTGTGGACCGATTCTGGCAATTTTGAGCAGGGATCAAGCTCTTGTGCAGAAACGAATGTATGGTGATTTTCATGGAATTATCTTGCATAGTTTTCGATAAAATTGTGGACCGATTCTGGCAATTTTGAGCAGGGATCAAGCTCTTGTGCAGAAACGAATGTATGGTGATTTTCATGGAATTATCTTGCATAGTTTTCGATAAAATTACATCAGAATGTGTAAAAAATGCTTTTTTGTTTCGAGGTTGTTTTAAAATTTGATTCATAACTTTTCCCGGTGTGAACCGATGTTGCCCATTTTCAATACCAAACAACTTAGGAAAATGAAGAACATTTTGGGTGAATTTTGTTAAACTCTATTGCTGCGTTTTATCGTTTTACACGGAATGACAAAGCTATATAAACCCTCTATCACCACTGATGGTGGTGACCACCAACCAAACCAAAACGTAAGTACAAATAAAATTCTCCGTTTTATTTTGATTCATGTTCTATTCTGTTATTGAAAAACTTTGATAATTTCTTAACAAAGTAAAAGCAAAAGCAACAAATCTCCAAAATAAGAGTTGGAGTTTGTTTAATTACACTAGTCTACACTCAAATCCTCCTTAAAAAATACTTTAAAACTAAAAACATTTTAAAACGGTGCGGAAAGTAAAATTTTAAGAAAAAAAGTTTAATTTAAACTTAAATTCTATTAAATAATGAAAAAAAAAAATAATGTTTTAATAATTATTAAGATTAAAATTAATATTGTTTACTAAATTTTTTAAAATTGGATGTATTTCCGATATACGGAAGCAAAATCTGAAAAAGTTCGTAGACATAAACTTAGAATTTGCCAGGGAGAATTTATTGGGATAATTTTTTGTACACTTTTCATTTAATTTCTATATTATTTGTTTATTTAATCTTCGTTTATAAAATTGTTTGTCAATTTTTGTTTACTTCTTTTTATACCCACCATCAAAAAAGATGGGGGGTATATTGATTTTGTCATTCCGTTTGTAACACATCGAAATATTGGTCAGAGACCCACAAAAGTATATATATTCTGGGTCCTCATTAAATTCTAAGACGATCTAGCCATGTCTGTCCGTCTGTCCGTCCGTCCGTCTGTCTGTCTGTCTGTTGAAAGCACGATAGAGTCCGAATGGAAAGAGCTAGAGGCTTGAAATTTCACATAAATATTTCTTATAGGTAAGGTTTGTTTGGTATTGAAAATGGGCAATATCGGTCCACGTTTTCGGATAGCCCCCATACAAGTGGCCCCTAGAAAAGCAGCTTTAACAGCCATAACTTGTTTAAAAATACGAATATAGCGATGAAATTCGACATAAGTAAGTTTCTTGTGATCCAAAATCACTGTGCAAAATTTTATGAGGATCGGTCCATAATTGACCCTACCCCCCATATAAGGTCCCCTTCAGAAAATGACTTTAACGCTCATTACTGGCTTAAAAATTCTAGTATATAGATGAAATTCGACATAAGTAATTTTCATACGAGTCAAAATCTATCTAAAAAATTTTATGTTGATCGGTCCATGATTGACCCTACCCCCCATATAAGGTCCCCTTCAGAAAATGACTGCAACGCTCATTAATGACTTAAAAATACGAGTGTAGCGATGAAATTCGACACAAATAAATTTTATACGAACCAAATTCTGTCTACCAAATTTTATGAGGATCGACCCATAATTGACCCTACCCCCCCATATAATGTCCCCTTCAGAAAATTACTTTAACGCTTATAACTGGCCTAAAAATACGAATATATAGATGAAATTAGACATAAGTAAGTTTCATTCGAGTCAAACGAGGTTTGATGGTGGGTATATAAGATTCGGCATAGCCGAATATAACACTCTTACTTGTTATTTTTATCTTTTTGACAGCTGATTTATTGGAATTTTCTAAGAAAAACGTAATTCGTGTTGCCTCTTCTCACTTTTTACTCACAAATCGAGAAACGAAGAATTTTATGTTTCTGTTTTCAATATTATATACAATTCAAAAAATATAATTTGATGAATGAAAAAGTACTAAAAGTCCCTTTCAGTAGATTCTCATTCACTAAGGTCCCTACATTTTAAATTATATATTTCTATGTTCAATATCGCAAAAATGCCAAAAAGTACCATCGGAAAAACAAAAAAGTACAAAATTCTCATTTAATAAGGACCATGTCTCATCTCAACCATTATAGAGAATCCAAAAGGTACCATTTGAAGAATGGAAAAGTACCAAAGAGTTCCCACTTACAGAATATTATTCAGTCCATGACTATTTTAGAAAATTCAAAAAGTGCCATTTATGAGATAAAAAGTACTAAAAAGTTCTCTCTTAAAGAATCTTATTCAATGAGGACCGTATATGTTTAAAATCATGTGTTTAGAATTCATATTATAGATCATTTGAAGAAAGAAAAAGTACCAAAAATGGAATAAATTCTACCTTAGTGGAAAGTGCTAATAAAAAGTGTACAATTTTCCTCTTTTTGGTTAGAAATATACTTTTTCGAAAATTAAGTTTACAAAATGTTCGTATTTAAATCTATACATCACAGATAAAATTCAAACGATTCAAATCTGCATTCATTTGTTTCAGAAAAATTGTGCTTTCAAAAAGTACTCAACAATTTACTCTAATTTGGTCCTATATAACCTTAGTACTCGAATTCCAAAATAATATATCAATAGCTTATATTGTATGAGTAAATTTTAAATTTTATAAAAATTTGCTCAATGAGTTTGAATAAAATTAAATTTTCCGTTTTTTCCCTTTTTGGTACTTTTTCCCCAGTGAAATAGCAAAAATTTTGTTTCAATAAATATTACAGAGTTAGTCCGTAATTTAATAGGAATACTTCAATAAATCGAAAAATTTTTTTTATGTGCTAAAAAAAAGTACCATAAATACAGTTTTCTCCCTCTTACACCCAAAAAGGACTGAATTTTAAAAAAATACGAAACAAGTGTCTCATAATTTTGGGAGATATATTCAAAATATTTACATAAATGTTATTTTGTTTATTAGTTAAAAAGTTATAAAGGGCCAAAAAAAGGTACCAAAATCACCTTTGTTACACATTTTCATCCCTTAAAAGTACGAATTTCAAAAAAGTACTAGACCCATCTGCTTATTTTAAGAGTAGATACAGGTGCATTAAAAATTTTTCTTGTATCACTAATATTAGGTAAGATAATTAAGAAAACCTGTTTTACCCATTTTTCCTTTTTTAACCCCTAAATGTGCAAATATCCAAAAATCCCTCCTTAATGGATATACATAACAAAAACTACAAAAACACATCTACTGTTAAAATTTCATGATTCTAGGTTCAGCTGTTTGGGCTGTGCGATGATGAATCAGTAACGCTACTCTTTTATATATATAGATTTTTTATGTATACCTATTTTTAAGTAGAAATTTGTAACCGATTATGGCCAATAGGCTAGGTTTAATATGAAAATAAATTCATGCAATAGCAAACATGGCACCTCCCATAAAAATTAAATACAAAACCGTTAGAGCTAGAATAGTCAAATTTTACGAACATTTGGGCGGGCACTTTGCACATAAATAAAATTTTAAATTAGTATATATGAGAAATTAAAACAGAGTATAAGTATCAATTTAAATATTTACGATACAAATTTACGAACTAGCAATAGGTGGACGTGGCACCCCCATATGAATTAGATACAAAAATTTGTATATCTGAGAAACTATACGAGCTAGAATCCTTATAATTTTCATGTACAACTTTAACATAAATGTGTACATTTTGTAACATATTGGCAGATAAAAAATAATGAAAAAAATACAAAAATGTTTATATCTGGGAAACCGTAAGAGCTGAAATCCTTAAACTTGCATGTTACACATAAAAAATATATATGAACATTTATAAAAATGGGTGAACTGACAACAGTGAGCGTTGCACCTCCCATATGGATTTAATACTAAAGTGAATTGTAAATTTCTGAATTATATTATTTTAAGTGTAGCGAAGCACATTGGGTATAGCTAGTGATACTATAAAAGATGCCAAATTCAGATTTAAGCAAAATGTACTTTTAACAATATCTAACATTTTGTTCTCAAGCAATGTAAAACAGTTTTCTAATTGGACATCCCGTTTTGATGCCAGAGAAGGCAGAATTCGATAAAATGTTTGCTCTTTTCGTCTTTTGAATTTTGATCCCAAAGAAACAAAGAATATCAATATTTCTCAATCTTTTATAGTTTTCCGAAAATAAAGACCATCATTTCAAGGAGTGGCTTCCTGGAAATGCCTTCCTTGGTCCGTCAAAACTTAGAAACCTTAATACAATGGTATAATAATTAAGTTGTTGGTAGCATGTTAGTTTTGGTTGCAATCTATAATGCAAATATAATACAAAATACCTTTTTGTCCCGGAAAACAACATTAGCCGCAGCATAACGGGGTCTACTGTTATATGAATTCACATCTTTCTTCTTAAAAATTTTGCTGTCGTCAATCTGCAAAATATACATGAGATTTATTAATGTAAAATATATATTTTATTTACAAAATAAGATAAAAGATTTAGTCAAGCATAAACGACTTCTTATTATGAAATAACTAACAAACAAAAGTGAAAATTTGTTGATGTTAATTATTGTCTTTTTATACAAATCTGGAAATTTTTTAAGAATGTACATCAAAAGTCTTCGCAGTTCCTTTTGTTTATTTTGATTTAAGCACAGTGGTTGTTATTATTTTTGCCATTTTGTTGTTTTTTCTTGTTACAGCCTTGAAAATGATATCCGAAGGATATCGAAATTTTGGAAAATAAAGAAATGAACATTTTATCAACAATTGACCTCGAGCTTGAGAAATCTTTTTATTTGGATAGAACAAAAATGCCGAAGTAAAAAAAAAATTATTATTTTTATTCGGTCGAATGACGAATAAAAGTTTTTACTCAAATAATTTAATAAAATATACATAAAACTAAAATTCTTTATTATTAAAAAAACATAAAGGAAGTAATAACTCATAAAAAATGTATGTTAATAAATTGAGTTCATATAAAAATAAACATTTTTAATAAAAACAAGTTAGAGTGAGGCTATGCCGATTTACCGAAATTTACATTTTATAAATTTTTAAAGCTTTAATTATAAACAAACTAGCTATACCTAGTGTGCTCGCTGTTTAGATCAATAACATTAATTTAATTTTTTATTAAATCTTGTTTTATTCATTATTATGTTAGTTGCCCTTAATCTAATTACCAGTATACTGGAAGTCAATACATTTGGTTACTGATGTAATTACAGACAATTTTAAAATAACAAACAAGTATCAAAGAAAGCAAAGAGTGCATCAATAAAAAAGAACCTGTTCTTCATAAAACAACAACAACCCTAATTGTATATTTCTTTTTTTTGGGGTTTTTGTTTATTTTGGCTAAGCATGTGGTAGCGCTTATATGCCAGTACTGTTTGTGTTAAAAAAGACATAATACATACTAGTATTTGAGTGTGATAGTAGTTGTGTTTTGTTGCTATCAATGAGTGTTAACGCTTAAAGTTAGCAACAAAACGAACATTACCTGACTTGGCATCACTCCACAGAAGAAATCTGCTAAATCTTGAAATTATTTACATTTTCTTAAAAAAGGTTTTTTTATTTGATATTTTTTTTAATTTAAATTTTATTTTAAAATATTATTTTATTGTTTGACATAAACACATTAATATTTGTATTTTTATTTTTGAATTGGTAGCACTTTTATCGACGTTAAAATTAACTTGTATAATTTTACACGTTAACTCCTAACGTTTATAAATTTTAAATTTATATGAAATTGCCTTTGAACGTTAGCAACAAAACGAACATTACCTGACTTGGCATCACTCCACAGAAGAAATCTGCTAAATCTTGAAATTATTTACATTTTCTTAAAAAAGGTTTTTTTATTTGATATTTTTTTTAATTTAAATTTTATTTTAAAATATTTTTTTATTGTTTGACATAAACACATTAATATTTGTATTTTTATTTTTGAATTGGTAGAACTTTTATCGACGTTAAAATTAACTTGTATAATTTTACACGTTAACTTTATTTTAAATTTATATGAAATTGCCTTTGAACGTTAGCAACAAAACACAACTAGTGTTAGAATAGAATAGAATCTTTATTTTCATATTAAGTTGTTTACAATAAATATTTTTATAAACATATTTGTTCAATTCACAATCGATGTTGTAGCGTTGTATGCGTTGTATGCAGCTGCTACAATAGTCATAACAATGTTGTTGGTATTTTCTATGCAAAAGCTCTATACAACTCCTACGACAATTTTTCATATGTTTTTCGAATGTTGTAAGAAAGTTTAGTGTTGCCAATTGTTTTTTTCAACATATAAACGAAATATTCAAAAGATTTTAGCATAAAAAACGATAAAGTGGTAACACTGAAATCAAAAACAAACAGCTTTTACCAAAACAAAAAAACTAAAATTTGATTAAAAACAGTTTAAAATGTTTAATAAAGAAAATGAAAGAATTCAAAATTCAAAGAAATTAATTTGGTTTATTTCGCATGTTTAATTAAATTAAAATTTTTTGATTTTTTTATCTTTTGACATTGTTATGTATATTTGTTTTGATTGTTTTTTTTTTTTTTTCATTGAGAACATAAACTTACGACTTGCTGCAAAGATCTGTTCACAATCACTGTTAGTACACTTTAGTAGGTACAATATACAACTTGATTGTGAATTGAACAATTATATTTTAGAAATGAAGATAAAACAGCATGGTTTATAAGAAAAAACAGTCAGCTGTAAATACAATGTCATAGTTAGTAGTTAAATTCATTTATTAATATTGCCCTACACATTATAGCACTTTTTACATAGTTATATTACTTTACCAAAGCCGTGTATTCGAATATAGTTAAATATGGGACACCTTGCAATAAAATGACGAGTTGTTTCAACTTCATTTAAATTGCATAAGGAGCATAACCTTGATGTTTCCTCTCTATACTGATTTCCATTTAATGGCAGTAGATCAGCTCTTGCCTTTAGTATATAACTTATTTGCTCCTGACTGTAGGCTTCATTACAATAACTTTGATCTTTGTGCAACTGCCAAGGGACGTTGATAACAAACGTCATTTTATTGTAAAATTTGTTTAGAATTTTGTGCAATTAAAATTGATTTTTAACGTAAGTTTTAGTGAAATTAGTGTTTATTTACAAAATTTGCATTTAATTTTAATTGTTTTTATAAAATATAACATTATTTCAATAAAATTATCTGTGAGTTGTCGTGATAAATTCAGCATTTTGTTACCCCTACGCATTAACATATAGAAAAACCTGACAATTTTTCTGCCAACGTTTTGTCAAGTGCCGTGATAAATATTTGTCTAATATAGACATTAATAACTCGCTAAATGTGTAACACTCACATAGTTGTTTAATAACCCTACAAAAATTAAATCAGTATAATCGGTTCAAATAAAAGCCACACAATTTATAAGTTGTAAGTTGTAAATTTCTTATTAAATTTAAAACTTAATTATGAAACATTTTATCAATTTTTTTTAGCATTTTAATAAAATATTTTTAAAACCCTTGAATTGTAAATAATCTAAATAAAATCTTAAATTTAGTTGAATCATACTGCCAACATTTTGTTTACTTTTGAGAAAAATACTGAAAACTTTTTCAACACTAATTGTTCCGAAACCCAAAGTTGTTTTTTTTTAATAGTTTTTTGAATACAAACTGTAAATGTCGATTTTAGATGAATTTATCCAATCCTCTGATAAAGTTGTTGAATAAGATTTTGTTAAATTACAATACTGTACAGGAAAATATTAGTGTAGACACTCTGAAAGAAAGAAAGAGCTTTGTCTATGGCTAATGAGATATTAGACTCCCTCCGAAATAATAATGTCCTTGCTGTCACACCCCCTACACCCTTAGTAGATTCTAACTCTAACATAACTTTACCACCATGTGGTACACAAACCATTTATGTCGATTATTTTTCTTGGACCCCCTTCCGTGACATGTTCACGGCCCTTTACATTAACGATTCCCGATTTTCCCCTGTTGAAAAGCTATTTCTCTTATTAAAAAAGACAGATGATGAACCCATGATATTTTAAAGAATTATTCACTCACGAATAATGGATTCGAGATTCAACTTACTATTCAACCATATTAGTGAAGAATAAGGTCGCTGTATAAAACAACTCCAACAATCGATCAACGATTGTATAAAAAATCTTTCGCTGCTTCAAATAGATACCAAAACATGGGACGTTATCTTTGTTTTTATTTGTGCAAATAACCTTACATTTATGACAACAACACTTAGGGAATAGTAAAGAATTACCCACTTGACAGGAAACGGATAGCTTTCTAACTTCTAGACATCAACCCTTGAAGGTTTCGCGGATATACGAACTACTTTGTCTGATTTTCAAAACAACTACAAGAAATTTAATCCGAAGAAACTGATTCCCAATAATATTAAAATAGTTAATACATTTTAAACAAAAGTTAAAACAGATAAGCCTTTCTTATCAATGTCAGTAGAAGATCGTTATTCTTTTGTAAAAAGTTAGTTAAGTTACTAACTGTGACATGATCATAAATCTTGTAAAAGTCAATTTAGATGTTCATTCTGTAAACAGAAACACCACTACCTCTTACACCGTTCCGAGAATCAACCTATACCCCAAATGGCTAATACTAGACCCTTTAATGATTATTCAACGAACAATAATAGCAATAATAATCGCGATTCACACCACTCACAAACCGATAGCAATCCTGTTGATAACGTCACAACTTCAGCTGCTGCAGCAAGATCTCGTCAAGCATATTTAACCCAACTACAGTCTACAACACATAACTCTGTTATCCTTTGAATAGCTTTAGTTGATGTTGGTGTAGACTATATGCGTACTGTAAGAGCTCTTATTGAGTCAGCCTCAGAAGCCACCTTTATCTTTAAAAAACTTCATGCTATAAAAGCTTGAGTACCAAGTTTTCTGATCTTCCATTAGCTAATAGCTATTCAGCTAAAACTTCGAATGTTGAACTTTTGATTGGTTGTGATGTTTACCCTAAAATCCAGTCCGCAGTTTATTACAAATTAAAACGCATCCGATTATATACTAATATCTCAATAGGAAAATTTTGTGAAGACCATACAACTAGCATCCGATCCAGATCATTATTATTCATATCCTATTGTAAAATTAAATTAATTAAATGCACATTTATTTCATTTCGTTTTTGTATCCCTTTTTTTCATTTAATTTACCCATCTGAACTTCGCTTACAATGTCGGTAGGATTGAACTAATCTGCAAAAGATGTTAGTAGCATAAAACTAACATTCGACTCAACTATTATTAAATGTGATGTGGCTAAAGTAGTTAGCGCGTTGATCACGAAACATGCAATACGAGTGTCCCTTGGTTTGATCCCCAGTCGATGCTGG